CCTTTCACGTCTTTTTTGTTGCACTCTAAATTGTTGCTTTAATGTTTGTTTTTGCCGGCTCTACTCTCAGTGCGAATTCACTAGTTATGCCAGCTGACCAGCTGCATAGCAGTGTTGAGCAACGAAGAAAACAGAAAAGGTCTACAGGAAAGCTCCGATAGCGGGCGGAGCCGCGATCGCATGCAGCAGCCCGCCAAAGAATATATTTTTTCTCTGATGTTTTTTTCTAAGGTAGAGCACATGGGGAACAACGGGTGCCAAAGGTCATGAAGCAGACTAACAGCGACTCCCACCGCCCAGGCGATGCACTCCGAACGGGGCTATGGCGACCGAGAAGGGGCGGTATAACCCACATCTGCAAGCCGGAAGAAAATCTTCAGCCGCCGATGGACGCCCCAAAAGTGTTGCCAACCAAACCAAATACAAGCAGCGTCTGACCCACAATGGGCGGCCGCTTGGTCTGCGTCTGTATCACATTGATCGGCAGTAATGAAACCTGGCAGGAGGTATAAAATGCAAACAACCTGGCAGTAGGTATAAAATGCGCATGGAATGATAACGTCTTCTCAAAACATAAATACTCCAGGTGGAAATCCACATGCGCGGAGCAATCCCGACGTCGAAGCCGTCGAAGACCCCCCAAACTTGCTACGCCGATGGCACACTTGGCCGACGAAGCAAGAAAAACTACAAGCAATGAAACAACGGCTTTTCAAAAAGTCGAAGATGGCCCGAACACCGCCACACCAACAAGCAGCCTCAGCGCCGCCATTGAAACGAAGCTCGATGCGCAGCTTTGCTAGCGGGCCCACACAGGACGACATAAAAGACGCCGACACCCCAAAGAGGCCGCGCGACCCTCCGACTCCAACGAGAAGTGTGAGGAAAACTCCCCCGAGGAGGAGCAGGATCAGCGCCCAAGACATCGACGACATGGGCACAATATTGGACGATCTCCTGCACCAGATGAATTAGAAGTGCCAGAGGTCGATTAATATGACCATCAAGAAGATGATCGGACGCATAAAGGAGCTGCAAGTGGAAGTCATGTCCCAGCTGAAGTCACCATCCGAGGATATGGCACCGGCAGGAAAATGCCAATGCCACTGCCATGCTGCAGGACTCCAGCCCAGGCTGGCCAACCCCGACGCTGACCCGACGAATCCAAATGCGGCAAAGGCGACTCAAACGACGCCAAGAGCCCGCAGGAACGAACAAACACAACGACTTGCCCCGAACATGCGGAAAGCCTATGGGGCTACACAAATAGCCACGTTGAATCTCCAGCCCGCCATCGCACAGAAGTCGAGGAGCTTGGCATGGTGCGAATCGGCTGGGTGGTGAGCCGCATTCGTCGACGTCTAGCGCCAACCTGGTGCTTCAAGTGCATGGCCTACGGACACACCGCAGCCAGGTGCAGATCCCAAGTGCCCAGTGACAAGAGACACCTGCTACAATTGTGGAACGGCTCGAGGGACAGCGCTCATGGACGAGTTCGCAAACGTAAACATTTGCCTCTTAAACACATTAAGCGCACCGACATATAGCAAGGCAGGCCGTGAGTCTATCATCGACCTAACGTTTGCAAGCCCGGAGATCACACGCCATTCCAAGTGGCAAGTGCTGAGCGTGTACATACATAACGACCACCTAGCGGTGCTGACGGACATATCTGCTACCAGGAACACAGCAAGGAGGCACCGTGCGCTCCAGACTGGCTACAAGGAGGAAAGCCTTAACCGAGCCGTGCTCCTCTCGGCAGCAGAAAACCTAAGCGCCGCCGGGGATGCGGAAGCATCCGCGCTTCCCATCACCAGGGCCGTGAAAGCGGCTTGTGATGCAGCTATGGAGAAGAAGATGATCGGAGGAAACAGGCATCGTCCAATACCATGGTGAAATGAGCACATTGCTAATGCTATGAGGGAATGCTGCGCAGCTCGGCGTGCTTACCAGCGAACAAGAGGAATCACCCAATTTGGTAGAAATGGCGTGGTATTCAAGGCCAAAAAAAAAGAGCTGAAATATGCCATCAGAAGCAGCAAAAGCAAATGCTTCAGAAAGCTCTGCGATGCGGCTGATGCTGAACCTTTCGGTAGGGCATATAAGCTAGTCCTGGGGAGACTAAACAGGCAGCCTATGCCCAAGTGCCTTAACAGTTGAGACGAATTGTAGGCGAGCTATTCCCTTAACAACCACCCCTACAAGAGGGATCTAGTGTGGAAGTAGTGAGCCATATGGATACCACCATCACTGCCAGAGAGGTACTGGAGGTAACGGGAAAGCTGAAGATCGGAAAAGCGGCAGGGCCAGATGGAGTCCCTAATGCAGCAGTAAAATGCATAAACAGAGCCCATCCTGACGCTTTCGCTGCTATGTACGACCAGTGCCTAGCCAGGCAAAAAGCTCAGTGACCCATCTGCATACCGGCCGTTATGCATGCTGGATACCATGGGCAAGATATTTGAAAGGACGATATGCAACCGGCTGGAAGCGAAATTAGCTGAGCGACACCTTCAATTTCAATTCAATTCCTTCAATTTGGGTTTCAAAAGCAGAGGAGCACCACTGACGCCATCAAGATGGTAGCAAACCTGGCCAGGGAAGCCATGGCAAGAACGCGATGGGCTGGAGGCGACAAAAAGTACTGTCTAGTATGTACGCTAGACGTACGAAACGCCTTCAACTCGGCCAGCTGGAGGAGCATCCTGGTGGCCCTGACCAGGAGGGGGTATATCGGAGCAGCTCATACTGACGCTGCGAAGCTATTTTACGGACCGCGTGAAGACGACACGGAAGAAGGAGCAGGACAATACCACATCACCGAAACACATACGAGATGCAGAGGAGAAATGCAGCGACGCAACCGGGAAGATAGTATCCTGGCTCGCAGCTAACGTGCTGTCTTTGGCGGAGAAGAAGACCGAGGCTGTGCAAATGGGCAGCAGAAAGAAGGTCGAGCAGGCATGCGTGAGAGTCGGCAGCACGATCATCGGGACCAAGCGGGCGCTAAAATATCTAGGGGTAATGCTGGATCAGTGGCTGACATTCAAGGCCCACCTGGAATACGCCAGCTCGAAAGCAGCCACAGCAACGGCGGCCATAAGTAGGATGATGGCCAATACAGGAGGGCCATGGCAGCGCAGCAAGCACCTCATCGCCGTGGTGGTCACCTCTATAATCCTATATGGATCAGCAGTCCCTCATTGCTGCTGACGGGGCATGGTTGCTTCAAGCAGTACCTGCACCGATATAGACATGCTGATGACCCATACTGCAGCTACTGCGGGCCTGGAGTCGACGAGGATGCAGAGGATGTGTTCTTTTCATGCTCCCGTACGGCAGCAGCCTATGCAGCCGTTCTCTTTCGCCTCTTCATCTCGCGCCTTTCTTTCTTTTGCTTTGTCATCAATCTCTCGATCTGTCGCTCCCTATTGTTAAGGCACGGGCAATTCGGCCCGCCTGCCCTTTGATTTAGTCTTGATCTTGCAATCACTTCTTTCATATCGTCTTGGAATCGAGCTATTCAATTCGACACCGCCTTGTACCGACACCCGCGTCTACAATCTGACCCCGTCTTGAATCCAGCTAACTATCCAACCGACTCGTCTTCCTCTCGTCATCAACCTATTTCGAACATTTCGCTATCCCTTCGACTCTGTATCGCCTTATATACTGTCTACAAGAATAAACCATATTTAATCTGAACAACCGTCGTCTCGTTAATAATCATATCGCAATGCAACGCTACTAAAAAAGCTTAAAAGCTCAACTATATTTTTTTAATATATTTTTTTTTTATTTTAATCTTTAATTTAATTGTATTTTTTGTATGCTTCGAGCATTTTTATATTGTTAATTACATGAATTAATTAATTTTTTTAAGAACCAGTTTAATTTTTCCCTAAATTGCGATGCACTACGAGTTATACCCGTACTCAAAAAAAATTGTATGCAACGCAGAGAAGGAAACGTTTCCGACCCCATAAAGTATATATTCTTAATCAGCATCAATAGCCGAGTCGATATAGCCATGTCTGTCTGTCCGCCCGTCCGTCTGTCTGTCTCAATGAGCGCCTAGATCTCAGTGACTATAAGAGATAGAGCAACCAAATTTTGTTTCCAGACTCATGTGATATCACATTGCTACAAGTGTATTTTAAAATTTCGCCCGCCCCCTTCCACCTTCACAAAGGACGAAAATCTGTGGCAGGCATAATTTTAAAGATACGATAAAACGCAGTATCGTAGAGAATTCCTATATCTACCAGATTGCCGAATCTGAATAAGATCGGATCATAATTATAGCTAGAATGAAAAAATTAATTTTCAGTTGCTTCTCTACCTCCACCAGCAAGAGATCCGCAACTCATTCTCTTTCAGGCTGGCACACTCTGCCTCGTTCAGTGCGCGAGTGCCCGCAAGCGGGGAAGATGTAGAATTTAAATAGTACATTTAGAATCTACATATTAGATGTAGAATATACATTTTAGATGTAGATAACAGACGTGGCAAAAAAATGTAATATGTAATTTTTTTTTTTTTAATTCAACATAAATCATAAGTTAAAAATTGATAAGCTGACTAAGTACGGGTATAAAAGTAGAGTCGTGTCCCAGAAGCGATTCCACAGACGAATAGCATGTATAAAGAATTGCCGTTCGGAACAGCCAAGTTTGTAAATTAATATAGATATTAAGATTTACAATAAAGAAATTTTCAAATATATATACACATAAACTTAAAACATCAGCAACTATGATTCTATTTTTTTCTGATGCATAGGCAACAATTTTGAACTTTGGAAATGTATTTTAAACCTTCTAGACATCGTAGCACACTACATTTTCGAAGATTTTCTATTCAAGTACAGTTTATTTTATGCAAAGAAATTTATTCGTTCAAAAGTTATTAAATTAGCAAGCCGAAATGGCCAGGACCTCCACTGTGCGTCGGCACAATCTTATGTGTCGAGGTAATATAACAAAAAACATAATACTTACATTAAATACACCAAATGTTTTTAGAGTTGCCGTTATTAATATAACTGGTAATTTGTGTCCATCGACAGCGTTATCATTGGTTTTTAAATGCAATTGATGCGGTACCAACTCGCCGTAGATAATTGGTACTTTGCTGTTTTTGTTTGCGACTTTAGTAGTACCAGTTACAGTTGCATGATATCCATTAGCTGAAACTGACATAATCAATTGTGCAACCGATGTTTGATTTTGGCTAAAAGCTTTTATATTTGTATAAGTGATCTCGTCAATTATTTTTTCCAAGTGTATATTATAGGGCGCAAAATAAGTTGGAACTGACACAGTATGTGTGAGCATTGCTTGCTCTAAAATAGCTATATGTTCTTTCGCTTCAACGTCTAATTCCAAAATAATCGACGGCAACATAACAATAAGGCCTCCTGCACTTTGGCGTATTTTGTCAAAATCATTAACCGACAAATTAATTAATCTATAATATAAAATGAAAAAAAAAGTATTATTATAAAACATTTATTATTATCAAAATCAAATTAAAAATATAATAAATAAATTATAGATATTATTATTTTAATTATTACAAATATTACACTACTCGACAAAATCCAACTTTTTATTTCCTTAAGGATCCAAACCGACTTTTTCTGATAGATATTGGACTTTAAATTTTTTTTTAAAGAATTATAGTTTTTTTTTCTATGGCAGAACTTTTTTATAAAGAATTTTTGAATGCTGTTATTTTTTTTAACCTTTTTTCAGAGGTAGCGTTTCTTTTTTTCACATAACTTTAGTATCTTACGTCTGGTTGTATAGCACTTTGCTATTTTGAAAAGGTAATTAAAACAGCACTTTGTGATTTCCGCTTACCGTCTAGGAAATATAAAGCATTGAAATGCAATCTGGACCGAGACTTCGTTTTTGAACACATATTTCCTTTAATAAAAAAACCTAATTTTTGTCTCATGCAAATTACAAAAGCACTGTCACACAGTGTAGTTAATATAATAAGTTTTTTTTTATGGGCAACTCACATTTATTTATATGCTATGTTTTAAAAGTTTTTTTGATAAGATTCTTATTTTTTATAAGAATTATTTTCTGCGCACAATATTTAGGTATCGTTTAAGGTATAACAAGGAGGAACGTTGAGTCGCTTCTGTTGCAACGACTCTACTTTTATACCCGTACTCAGTCAGTATATACACTACTGGTCAAAATAATAAGTACATGAGCTTTATTTCACGTCTCGTAAAACTTTTTTAAACAACATAAAGAAAAAATCGACTTAACTTATAGATTACTAACACTACTCGAAACGAGTTTTCCTCAAGAAACAAATCCACCTTTTTCTTATAGGCTGTTTACATTGGGACTGCGTCATGCTTCTTTGCGTCTTGCCGGAGACGCAGTTTTTTTTACATAGGTTAAGCATAGGGCCCTAGTGGTGGCAAAAAGTTGCGTCAGTTTCTGATTCATGTGCGTCTATTCGATATATTCGATTGCTTTTGCTCATTTTTGGGATTTTCTGCCTATCAGCGCAACTATCACCACTAATAACAACAACAAAATTGTAGATCAAAAATCAAATTTTGGCGCTAAAAATGTATGATTGTGCAAAAAGGTGAAAATATACATAAAGTCATTAAATAAAATACTTGAAACTGATTGTATTATTATCATATGACATTTTTCTGACCCCCTGATGCCATTAAGACACTGCTGGAGACGAACTTCGGTGGTTTTCATAATTTGAAGAAGAACTCCCACAAACTCTACAATGAAATGTCTGAAAATAATATTTAAATATGAGAATCAATTCTTTTTCGTCCATTTTCCTGACGTCTTGCTTAATTCTGTTGATTTTCAAAAATTTGTGTATCTTTCCTTGTCATCAAACACCCAAATCCAAATTCAAGACGCACGTCTTCCAATGTAAACGCCTTTTCTGCTTCATTGCGTCTATGCCGATATCGATAGCAGACGCGCCCAGTGTAAAAAGGCTATTAAAGAAATGGTTTGATAATAATTTTTTTTTTCGGTGGCAGAACTTTTTTTTAGTAGTTTTTTAAATCTGGTATTTTTTTTAAAGCTTTTTTTAGAGGTAGTGTTTCTTTTTTTCACGTAACTCTAGTATCTTACGTCTGGTTGTAAAGAATTTTTAAAAGATAATAAAAACACCTAGAAGTTAAGCCCAAACACTTTGTGATTTTAGCTTACCGTCTGGGAAATATAAAGCATTGAAATGCAAAAATTATGAATTTTTTGTGGTATTTTTTACGAAATTTCGACTTTAAAAACTCGGGAAAAGTCGAAAGAAAAATAATTCTTGGCATTCTTTTTTAGTTTTAGATAGACGCATTAATTAGGCGTCGTCTAAGGTATTGTTCATTAAAATCTATGGATATCGATATCTATCGTGGCTGATGGTCGTGTTCTCCTTCGCTCCTCCTAAAAAGTTTTATTTTCGCTTTAAGCTTTGATTGCTAACTGCGCTTCGAGCGGACACCGTCGAACGCTTCTTGTTGTTTTTGCAATCTTTGTTATTGTTTGTGCGTTTATCTGAGAGTTACAAGCGTGAGAGACAACTTTACCATAAACACCGACTTGATTGCTACCTTTTCCCCATCAATTTTTTTTTTCTTTTTCTTTCGGTCTACACTCTTATAATGAGTACTTGCTGTGCCTAAAAGTGCCGCTCGGTAGCCGTAAAGCACCTACTGCTGGCTGTGTGACAACATGACACATACGGTATGCGCTGACCTCGGCCAAATTGGTGGAAGCGTGGTTGACTTGATTAAGTCTCGCTGTGGCCTTAACTGAACATGCTGGGACTGTAGGCAGATTGAAAGCGACATGCTAGTTTTTATGAGACAAACTAATAATGAATTCGCGGCCGTCAACTCTGGATTCCAACTGTTACAGGAAAAGTTCCTTTCTATGGAGTCTCATTTCAAAAATCTTCAAATTTTGACTGAGTCGCCTAAAAGAAAGAAAGGTAACAACAGTATGCCCACTGGTAATAATGGTGTTTTCCCTGCAGTTCCTGGATCTCCTCTTCCCCCAATTCGTTCTCCGTCTATAATAGACTTTGGTGCTGTCGAAACTGGATGTAATGGGGCACCGACTGTGGCTTCCACTTCCGCCTCCTCAACAGCCGCCTCTCCAGTTCCTGTGTCTGACTGCGATGTCAGGCGGTAAGTAAATGATGACCCTGGCGCTGGAGCTTCGGTGCCTTCACTGGAACCCGCTGACGCTGCCGTCAGCATAGATGTGGAGGCTCCGTCTGCCTCGGCATCCATCGTCAACCCAGAATATTGCCCATCATCTGCCGATTCTGCCCTTCGGGTTGAATCTGGTCCGCCGGTTCTACATAATAGTTCTACCATCCCTCCTTCTATCCTAACTGCTGTCGCCCCACTAAAATCTATTTTCGTTTCTCGACTGATGGCATCGGCTACGGATGTCCTGGTCAGGGACTTTATCTTTTCTAAGCTTGACATTGATGATTCCTCAGGTCTTGTTGTCACTAAATTTAACTTTAAAGTTAAACGCAACATATCTTCCTTCAAAAGACTCGTTGCTGACAAACATGTCAGTAGTGTGCTCGACCCCTCTTTCTGGCCTGAACATACTATCTGTCATGTGTTTACCAATCGTCCCTCTAGCCCTGAACGACGAGTGGGTGTCCTTCCAACTCCATCTCTGACTGCTTTAACTTCTGTCCGTCCAACTCCATCTCCGGCAGCTTTACCCTCGGCCTCAAAAAACTAATTTCTCCTCTTTCCCTTAAGATAACCTATCAGAATGCTCGTGGTTTGGGCAGTAAGCTTAACAGGCTATGTACTGACAGTGCATCTTTCGAAACTGATGTTATCGCTTTTTCCGAAACATGGCTCAACTCCTCTATTTATGGCTCCGAGATTCTAACCTCTAACCCCGTCTAACCTCCTGAAATTCTCCACTTCCGTGCATGAGGGTTTCGCTAAGCAGTCTCAAACTGACGTAGTCTATACTGACTTTAGTAAAGCCTTTGATTCAGTAAATTATAATCTGCTTATTCATAAATTATCTCTCCTAGGGTTTCCGCCTTTGTAATCGATCTCAGCGTGTCTGTTTTAACAACTCTTTTTCTAAGCCTGTTTCTGTATCGTCAGGGGTACCTCAAGGTAGCCATCTTGGTCCTCTGTTGTTTAATTTGTTCATCAATGATCTTTCCCAAGTCTTAACTCATTCCCGAGTACTTATGTATGCGGACGATGTGAAATTATGTTTCTCCTATAGCGATCTGATCTTGACGCCCTCAACAACTGGTGCTTAATAAACATTCTTCCCTTTAACATTTCCAAATGTAACGTCATGACATTCCATCGCAGCAAGTCTTACCTCTTTGACTACAATATACATAACTGTTCCTTAAACCGCCTTTAAAAAATTAATGACTTGGGAATTATCTTTGTACCTAATCTGTGTTATTAAACACAGCTTTATTAAAAGATGGTCTAAGGAGTTCACCGACCCTTATACCACTAAACTTTTATATGTATCCCTTGTCCGGCCTATCCTTGAATACGGTTCCTGCGTTTGTTCTCCGAATTATCAAAAATATCAGGATAGGATTGAGTCCGTTCAAAAACAGTTTTTTCTTTTTGCACTTCGTGGCCTTAATTGGTACCCCTCTAGACATTTTCCTTCTTATGAGAGTAGGCTCCGGCTCCTCGATGTCCGCTCTCTTGAAAGCCGTAGGATTTGCCATGGAGTGCTTTTTCTTCACAAACTTCTCGCTGGTGAGGTGGATTACACTGCCTCAGTAGCCTTATTTTCATTTCTGTCCCTTCCCGTCCGACTAGGAATTACTTTCCGCTTCATCTTCAACTCTGTCTTTTTAATTACTCTGACCACGAATCTTTCCGTAGCCTTTGCCGTAACTACAATACCTTCTTCCATCTGTTTTCCTTCGACACTATTCCTATTAAGGAAAAATCTTTGTTAACAAATAACCTAAATTAATTAATCTTAACTTAATAGGCTATAGGCTATTTCCTGACCAAAACTTGCTCTGAGCTGGACCATAGCGGCTATTGAGTCAAAAAATTAGTCCTATTGGGTCAGGATAATATCCATAGTCTGATAACACTAGTCAACACGAGAATTAGGCTGTGGTCTAAAATTACTTTTTCTTACAGATTTCGGGGTCTAAAAATTTGGAACAAATTATGGTTTTTTTATGGTGTAGTTTTTTTTTAAGAATTTTTTATCTGGTTTTTTTGTAATGTTTTTTTTCAGAGGTAGTGCTGACAAGTGCAGCTATAAGTCCGTCATGTCTATATATGCAACCAGATATAAGATACTTAAGTTATGTAAAAATGTAAACTAACATATTATAACGTAATATGAATAGGAGAAGAACATGGATTACACTACTCGACAAAATTGAACTTTTTCCTTAGGCTGTGAACCAAAATGACTTTTTCT